GTAGTAAATATATATATATATAAAGGATATATATATATATATATATAAGTGGACATGTATGTCCCTATATTTCACTTTTCCGCCAAAATTACACACGTGAATATTGTTTGTATGTGGTAGTAGCCCCAAGTCTCCATTCGTGCACAAGGGGGGTTGCGTCTCGATAGCTATAAGGGTGTGGGAAATATGAGGCTGAAAGTGGTTGAAAGTGGCTTTCTATTTCGAATGTTTTGTTCGAATTTGTTCGAATTAAATTTGAACAAATTCGAACATAAAATCCGAATATTGGTTCGATTATAGAACTATTGTAACCGTTCCAGAAACGTTGAAAATATTTCGTTTGACTTGACGTGAAAAGTAGACGTCCAGAAATAGAATCGGGACCAGGTCTCTAATTAGTCTAGAAACGGGGGACCTAATTCTTGCATTTTGTGAAAACGGGTAAGATTGGCTATAATGTAATTATCTTAATCTTCACTATCGTTAATTTTTAAAAACACAGCGAAGCGGGTCCTTGCGGCTAGTTAATAATAATATTCTTATTAAGCATAATTTGTATTCTATTCCTTTCATGCGTAAAATTATATTTAAAAAATTGAATTAATTTACTTCGTTAAGAGAAAATATTTTATTCGATAGATAAGAACTTTCGTTAATTAAAATTATGTTTTAGGTGTCCTTTTCGGATTGACATATGGTTTATGTAATGCCGCAGGTATATTTTCCCCTTACGTTGCTGGAGTTATACTAGATAAAAATGTAAGTTCTTAATTAAAATTTATATTTGTATGTATAACTTTATAAATTTGCTAAATTTGGTTATTTATGTTTACATATAAGGCAGGAGACATGGTTTACTGGAACTACGTATTCTACATGGCATCGTTCGCTTTTTTTCTGGGTGGTGTAATATTTATATTTGGAGCTATTTCACAAATTCAACCTTGGGCTACCATTAACACGGACAACAACAAAGAAGATAACAATTAATCATGCATGTAAATCAAATCTGATTCGTAATAATGAAAATTCTGCTTATATAAAAATTAAAATCACGGAGGGCGCTCCAATCGCCAAGACTGTTAGTTAATTTTTTATCTTACCTTAGGGACCATCTAAATATTACGTAAGGGCGATTTCAGCCATTTTAGACCTTACCCACCTTTGTATAAGAAGCCGTAATATTTACTTTGATTTCCCTCCCCTTCTTTATCTTACGTAATCTTTAAGCATGTTTTTTATAAAAATATTTTAACAAAAATTTTTTTATGAAACCCAAAGAACATTAGAATCAAAATATATACAGAAATTATTACTTAGTTAGTGAATATGTACTATTATTTATAAAAGACTTTATGTGAACAAATATTAAAAATAAAAAAAAATTAATGAATTCGAATGAACAATTTATTTTAAGAACTTTATTTTTAATAATAATAATAAGTTTGTTAATAATCATTAATCGACGTCATAATATTCATTTTTATATAAATTTTGATTTTCACAGAAGAATGCAAAAACTTTGACAGCTCGAGTAGTTAGTGCCTGGATAAACAGAAACGTGATACAAAATAAAACAACAGAATAGAGAGAAACCATATTCTGGTGCCATATTGATTACATCTTGCTTAAGGCCAACAATATAAACTACATTCTGCTAAAATGTGCTCAAGGACATAATTATAAAACTTGTAAATCTCTATACAATGGGGCAATACAACTTTATGCGATTTCTAGCTGGGGTCATGTTACTAGTAAAAATTCACTAGCAAGTAAATCACTCTCTCTTCAAAGCCAGTTTAACATTAAAATTTCAAAGTGCAGGAGAACTGATTTCACTAATGCCTCTCTGATATTAGCATAGCTCCTTCATTTGCCACTAGGTATTGTAGAAAAAATTATAAACTACTACATCAGAACTACAAATGTCAAGGCTCAATAACTGTCTCTACTCCTACCTTCGACTGTTCATATTCTACCACATTGTAATTACCCTACAATCTCTGATCATCACCCTTTGTTTTAAACAAGGCTATTTCGTGTGTCATCTGCTTCCTCCATGGAGAATCATGCAAACATTAATATCTACACAGATGGGTCCAAAAGCTCCCTTCTTGTCGGCTCAAGTATCTGTATCTTCCTTTACACTGACATATTTTACCAAAAATATGTTAGAAGATACAGATACCTCCCACATACCTCCATCCATCAAGCTGAAAAAAATGCTGACTACCAAGCTGTTCAGTGGGCCACTTAACTACAAAACAAACGTCTGTTTATCAACGTTTACAGTGATTCTCAGTCTGTCCTAAAAGCTCTATTAAATCCCAATTGCAATAAGAATAAAATCGCATATATCCAGCACCATAGTAAAATCTTGTAAATAAGATAACTTTTATATTTGTTCCTTGTCATACAAGTATACTAGGAAATGAAAAAGCCGACTTTGAGGCTAAGTCAACTGCGAAAGACACTGATTTCGATTACACTCACATATCTCTCTCACGTAGTAGCTTTAAAAATTATGTTCATGACAACCTATGCAAAAGTTGAATCAACAATAGTTGAGCAGTATAACTCGTAGAATAAAAAGACTATACTTTTCCAGTGTTAAATGCAGGTTGTCATCACCACTTAAAG